TGGATTTCACCTTCTATCAAGTCAAAAAACATAGTAGACACGTTTTGACTCTCGGGATTAATATATTTATTGATATCAAATGGCAGGCGTCTTGATGGTTATCATTAACCCTTTAGTTGACCTCAAACTTCACAGAGGAGAAGGAACATCAAGTTGAAAAAAATTCGAGAGGGGGAGGGGGAACAGAAGAGTGTTTCAAAGATGTAAGAGACAAACACAAAGGTAGAACAAAGGTGAGGTGAGTACTGTGAAAGGGGTCGAATATGACATACAGTGGGGTTATGGAAGTTTGAAGTCAGAGGTCAACTGCCAGTTAATAGACTTTTTTGACGTATGAATATACGTTGCCCAGGGTGCACCACGTGGAGGTGCATGGCCAGCAGTCTGTCAAAGCAAACCAGTCTTGAACTAAGCCAATGCGCAAGATAAACTTAAGATATTTCCGTTTTAGCAGCTGTAGAAGCTACGCTTTAAAAATGCATTCTTTCACCCATTGGCAAAACCCTTCCTTTGAATAAATGAAAGCTAAATACTGCAATGAGGCTAAGAGTGGGCCCCCCCCCCCCCCACCATTTCCCCTAATTTAACAAAACACGAATTTATATTGCCGGTGTTTTTGCATCTCTTTCGCCTTTTCAATAAAAGTGACTTGTAAATCTGAAATCTGTTAACCATCAAATATAAATGCATGATTTTTTTCTCGCCGTTTATTTTATTTATTAAAAACTGTGAAACGATACATTTACTACAACTATTACTCGATTTATTTAAGTAGCGCTAGAATTCATCAATAGTTTTATCAAATGCGTACCTGGTCAAAAGGGCTGACTGCTAGACCTACAAGCCTTCCTGCCATAGGCGACCAGAAAGCTTTCTGCTTCATAGATTCTGGATTCAAAGAGCAACCAACTGAAGTTCCATCCACTTTTTCATTGACTAGCGCCGAAATTGTATTGAACCATACGCGTCCAGTATTTGATAGCAACCAGATGCTACGAGCTCCAACACTCACAGAAACCAGATGCTCGTAATCTCCGAGAGACATTGAAGATGGGACATTGCAAATGACTTCAGTCCAGGAAATACCTAAGGGTTGATATGAGGAAGAAATTGTAATTCACAATATTTATTTATTTATTTTGATAGTTATCATTAGCCTTTTAGTTGACTTCAGGCTTCACAGAGGGGAAGTAACATCAAAATGAAAAAGTCGAGAGAGGGGGTGGGACAGAAGAGTGTTTCAAAGACGAGGGTAGAAAAGGTAGAAAAAGGGTGAGGTGAGTACTGTGAAAGTAGTCAAATATGACATACAGTGGAGTCATGGTAGCTTGAAATCAGAAGTCAACTGCCAGGTAATAGACTTTTTTGCCGTATGAGTATACGTTGCCCAGGGTGCACCACATGGAGGTAAGTCTATCACACACCCCGTAATTCGCAATATCAATAAG